TAATCAAACCATAAGCAATAAAAAACAACACAACCAAACCATAAGTAAATAAAACATAACCAAAGCATCTATACTCCATCATTCATCTTCATTCCCGCTCACCGCCCATAGATGCTCCATCAAGTCAAGTTGACGCCTTTCATGAATATACGAAGATTGCATCTCTGTATATCGATCTATCATCCGAGTCATAAAACGATCGTCCCTCACCAACGGTTCTGGCTCAAACGGTTCTCCACTTAGCCCCATGGGACTTTCATAAATCCGGGTCAAGGCCGTGTTTATTGGATTCGGTTCGTAGACCTCTCCAGCATCATAATCGTACTCATCCTCCACAATCATATTATGGAGGATGATGCAAGTCATCATAATGCTTCGGAGGATCTCCTCATCAAACATACGGGCCGCACCTCGAACAATCAACCACCGAGCTTGGAGGATGCCAAAACACCTTTCGACATCTTTCCTGTATCCCTCTTGATAGGTAGCACATAATTTTTGCTTCTGGGATCGGGGATTCGGAATGGATTTGACAAATGTGGTCTACCTTGGGTAGATACCATCAGCTATATAATACCTCGTCTGGTAGACTGTATTGTTGACTTGATAGGTAATATTGGGGCCTTGGCCTCTCAAAACATCGTTGAAGACCGGAGATTGACCCAGGACGTTAAGGTCATTTTGGGCTCCGGCAACTCCGAAGAAAGCATGCCAAACCCATGTGTCGAAGCTAGCAATGGCTTCCAGGATGATACTTTTTTGGCCTTTTCTATTTCTGTAATCACCTTGCAAGGCAGTTGGGTAATTCTTCCATTGCCAATGCATGCAGTCAATGCTACCAATCATTCCTGAAAATTCTCGAGTTTCGGCTTTTTGTAGAAGTCGTTGGAGGTCCCTGGGAGTAGGTCTACACAGGTAGTCCTTAGTGTACAGATTTTCAACTGCATAACAAAATCTTACCAAAGCCTCCAACGTAGTGGACTTTCCCATTCCAACAACCTCATCCACTTGATCAGCAGATGCTCCATACGCCAACATTCGTATAACAGCTGTAAGCTTTTGCTCCGGAAGAAGTCCCAAAACCCCAGCAGCATCACACTTTTGAACAAAGTATGCATCATAATTGCAAATATCATGCATGACTTTATTGAACAAATGGGGTTGCATTCTAAATCACCTTCGAAAATCAACATCAGAGTACAAAGCAGATGGGATAAAATAATCTTCCAAAAGATTCTTACCCCGAGAATGCCTATGTCTGTCCACATTCCGGCGACGGCCGACTTGCGAACCACGGCGGCGACCTTGGTTTTCTTCCTCTTCCATTGCCACTGCTATGAGAACTTGTTCATCGACTTGTCTCTGCAACTCACTGATTTTATCGGCTCTACGGTTTCTCTCCTTTCTTTCTCGCTCTTGCCTCTCCAAGCATCTCCTATATTCTTCCATTGAGAATGAATGGAGTATGAATTCTAAACTCTAAGAAATGAAAATATAGAAAGATGTGGTGCGAGAGGTATGGGTGGAGCCTCTGGTTTTATAGAAAAATTTGGCAAGATAGAGATGCCACGTGGCTTGATTTCATTAGATAAAAATCTTATCTGAAATTTAAAATTCATCCGAAATTTGAACCCAAATTTATCTGAAATTTGAACCCAAATTTATCCGAAATTTGAACCCAAATTTATCTGAATTTTGAATTTTGAAATTCATCCGAAATTTGAACCCAAAAATTTATCTGAAATTTGAATTTTGAAATTCATCTAAAATTTGAACCCAAAAATCTTATCCGGAAATTTTATCCGATTATGAATAGTCTTGACATGTAGGAACCCGGAAATCTTATACGAAAATATTATCCAAATTAATTATTGAGGTAAAAAAATTTGTGAATAAAACAAAAAAATGAATAGGAACTGCCCTTAGCCATGACAACGGGTGGAAACACAAAATACTATTTGCAAGAGCAACCACTATTCACATGAATAGTAGCTGCCCTAGCTCTCCTTTTGCCATAGCTAAGGGCAAATGAGTGGAGTTGCTCTAACACCACCCCAAAGTCTCTGAGCCGACATCCAACACCTACCCTCCTCTAGGAACCCACGCCACACACCCAGCCAACCCCATGAACTTCGCTGAGGCTCCAAAATTATGAAAATAATAATTAAAGAGGGAGAAGAGCACGTCAAAGTCTCATTATCCAGGAACCAGTTCGTTATTAAAATCAAACACATGCATTGGAATCTACAAATTGAAGGATGCAGATTGATTAACTAAATTTTCAAAACATGTAAGCTTTTTAAATGATGAAAAGAGATATCACAAGCCAAAGAGGCATGCCTAATAATTAAAGAGGGAGAAGAGCACGTCAAAGTCTCATTATCCAGGAACCAGTTCGTTATTAAAATCAAACACATGCATTGGAATCTACAAATTGAAGGATGCAGATTGATTAACTAAATTTTCAAAACATGTAAGCTTTTTAAATGATGAAAAGAGATATCACAAGCCAAAGAGGCATGCCGTTGAAAATTACGCTTGAGGCTTTTAAAACCCCTACAAAAAAAAAATCACACAAATAAAAAAAATAACCCACCAAACTCAAATAGATTAAAAAACCTAATTTGTACTTGGTTAATTTATTGATCAACTTCGAATTTGAATCCAAACCCTAAGGTTGCAGAACACTAAAAAGCCTCAATTTCAGGCTTCGCTTGATCAAAGGAGGAGCTTTATGTGGCTTCGCTCGATCTGAACAAGAAATTTTCTTCTTGTTTAGGGCACGGATAAGACGACCGTCCGATCCGAGGCTTTCGAACGTCTGCTCTTCTTCGTCATCACTTTCAATATCCTTGGGTGGCTTCTCCGTTGTTTCAGCTATGGGAGAGTCTGTAGACTCCGAAGTTTTGATTTCTGGTGCGAACAAAAAAATCGAAATTGTTTTGTTTTCTGCTTGGGTGGGGGAAGAAATATGGGTGGAGGGAAGAAATCTGGGGGGGAAGAAATTGGGAGAAAGGGGGCAGAGATCGGGGAGAGAAAGAGAGAATCTGGGTAGGTTTTTTAATTTTTATAAATTTATAGTTTAATATGTTTAATTTTTTTAAATAATTTAAAAAGTAAATTTATTATTATTTTTTATCCACGTGGAATCCCACATCAATTAAAAAATGGGTCTCACAAATGTCACATAGGCAGATAACGGATTTTTTAGCTATTTCGCTAACGGAGGGGCCAAATTGTAGGTTTTCCGTAACGTTGAGTATATACTTATAAATGTCCCAAAAATCAAATATAGACTCATAAATAACCCTATAAATTGGGAGGTTTACTGTAATTCACCTATATTTTATGCTTCGTCTATTACAAACAAAGTCACTGGCGCAAATAACTCCACTTAACCACGTTTCTTCCTCTTCTTGTTCTGTTCGACACCTAATCCAAACTCTCTCTTTCGTTTCCACGAAATATTTTTGTTTGCTGCTCCTACTTGCATTTTCTTTTCTCTGAAATAAAAAAAACGAAAGCATAGGGAAAAACCCAAGAGGAGGCGGATCATGACCATGCTTGTTCACTTGAAGCTCAACTTCATTGTGCTTTGCTTCTTCACCATGTTCCTGCTTCTACCATTCACTCAGTCTACGGATGTCAAATATTGTGGTCAGTTTCGGTTTCACTTTAATGGGCTCCTAAATGTGTTTCCTATTTTGTCTCTTTCCTTTTTCTTCTTTTACATATCTGAGAACAACCCAATTTGACTGTGATTGGTTGCTTAAAAATTGTGGGTAAATGGGAAGATACTAGATTACTGTATCCCAGTTGTTTAATTTGGTTTAAGCTCCTGAAATATGATCAACCATGAAAGTTTCTCATAATTTCGATCTTTATTTTTCGAATCCTTGAGGAAGTTATTTGTCTATATCATTTTAATCAATTACCATTATAATTCATTCACAGAAAGGTTTTGTTTTTTGTTTTTTTGGGGTGGGTGTATTTTATTTTTCAACTTTAATTTGTATCTGTCAAATTTCAGGTCAGACAGATGAATATGCTGTGAAGGTCCAGGGAGTCGAGATATTGCCTGACCCAGTGGTGAGAGGCAAGCCAGCTACCTTTAACATCTCGGCCTCAACAGGTATAACTTTTCAGCTTTCAGTGTTTGCCTGTCTTATCTTCTTAGACCTTGTTTGATGAATCTGCTTAATGTTGGCTGGATAACGAACAGCCATGACCTACTTTATTTTCTCAGCTTGCTTTTGGTTTTATATATTCCATTTAGGTAACAGGGACCATGCTTATGTAGAGAACCAAGTACATTAACAGCCAGCTTTTGTCTCATCAAAATAGATTACTCTTGTTAACAATTAAGGACAAACATTCAAATCCAGTTTTCCATTTGAAGACCTTCTTGACTGTTTTCCAATCCAAATTTTGTTTTTGCAGTATCCGATGTTTAATTTAGTTTATTAAAGATGACCTTTCTATGTTGTCGTGAGTGTAGGCTGCTAATGATTGTTTGTAACACAAATTAACTTCAATTTAGTGCAGAACATTAGGACAGGTTTGAGGAAAAATATACGTACTAGGACAGATTTGAGTGAACATATATGTACAGGTACTCGATTATGTTAACCACTGTATTGTACGGTACCCCATTGAGATGCAATACACAGACTTTCACTCTTCCTTTCTTTAAAATTTTCTTTTAGCACATGTAAGTGATCTAACAAGTCATCCAGCAAACATAAAAATTCTTGTCGACCACCATATTATCAACTCACATCCTCAGTGAATACTTCCTTTTGGGAGTAGGGCTTGTGGACTAATACTCATTCTCTAAAGAAGTCCTTGGCCAACAATTCCCATCATGTCAACACAGTTACTTATGCCCCTTGGAACTCATGCAGTAATGAGGTCTATTAGGTAAGATATACCCCAGAAACAGATCAATTTGGTACCACATGTCCCTCATAGCTAGTAACCTGTCTGGCTGATCACTGGGAAATACATCTTGGTACTCTTCCAGGCTCTGACCACATAGAGAATCTTACCAATAAGCACCTGCTCTTTCCTAATGAGCACAATTCTCGTTTGCCACACCATCAGAAAGCACCTTATATACAGAATACTTACAGTAATTAGGCAAATTGGTCAGAGAGACCCTTTGAGGGGGAGGATAACAGAAGGGCTATTTTTGAGTGCCTTGAGGATATAAATCACCAAGGCATGATGGTTTTTGTATGGATGAATTGCTTGGACATTTTGGAGGATTTGATAGGGTGTTTGAGAAGTTTTACAGAGTGGTCAACGTGATAACCAATTGATGTAGTACAGCCCGTAGGTGTTAGATTAAGCACTTAAACAATAAAACAGAGAAGAATATAAGAGACCGAGGAGAAGAAATAGAGATCGAAAAGACAAGATAAAGGACAAAAACAGTAGAACAAAGAAGAATATCGGAGGCCGAGGAGAAGAAATAGAGATAGAAGGGACGAAATGAGAGAGTTCTAGGAAAAGGTTTACTCAACATTCAAAAATCTATTTTAAAGAACTACATGGGGGTATTTATAGCAAACTAAAACCTAGACATAACAGGATAAAAATCCCTTGCTTAAACAGAAATTCTAACCCAAATAAAATAGGAAACTTAAAACTAGAAATCTGGAAATCTGGAAAAGTAGAAATCCTACTAGAATTTGGAAAACTTGAGAATCTAGGAAACTAACAAATACATTAGGAAACTAATAAATTTAAGTCCTACGCGTCCTGCATCACCAATTCAGCATTCATATTCCTAATTCCACAGAAACTGGACTCTTTGAAGCTTGGTGATTACAGGCCCATTAGTTTGGTTTCAAGTTAACTAAGGGGCTGCCTTTTTGATTGAGGGAGCTAATGGAGGGGCATTCATTAGAGGTGGATTAGGGCTTCCCATCAGAGCTTATAATAGACCATTGTTCATTCTTCGTGAGGATGGGATTGCTGTTTCTCAAGGCATCTAAAGAGATTATAGGTATAACAACCATAACCATCCCGCCAGACTTGCAAAATACAAACCTACTGTTTCTCCAAATGACAACTGCAGTGCTCATTGATGCGTCTCTGATGCAGAATAGGTTTCCAACTCGCAGCTGATTTTGACATAGGTTCATGAATTTCCTCTCCTGCAGCCATCTGTCTTGGTTTTCATTTATATGATGGCCATAAAAGAATATTTCTCAAGTCTTGAGCAACATTTTGCAAAGATGCCTTCAAAATATGTATTGTTTGTTTGATTTGTAATTTGGGTACTTCCAAAATATATTTCTAATTGACAAATGTTTTTGGCCTCCTCTTTATCAATGTTTGTTCTTCTAATAATAAACATATTAATCATGTATCTAAGAGTTTCCTTTTATGCATGCATCCATCGGTCATATCCTTCGGCTTTATATAGACAATTTTGCCTGCTGTGCTTCATACAGGTCAAGCCATCTCCAGTGGGAAAGTGGTGATTGAGGTTTACTATTTTGGGGTGCGCGTACATACAGAAACTCATGATCTTTGTGAAGAGCTTTCCTGCCCAGTTTCGGCAGGAAACTTTGTGCTCTCTCACACCCAAACTTTACCTGGGATCACTCCCCCTGTAAGTTTCACTTATTAAGATTATACTTGCCATCTTCCATACCTTTACCATACTAAGATTTTTACCTCACTTTCGAGGCACACTTGCTGACTTCAGTTTATAAAGAATCTCTCAAATACTAGTGGGCACGTGTGAGCTTATGTGTGGTTGTATTACTGCATGATTGATTATATTGATACCAACAGTTTGAGAATGTTTATATAATATCATGTACCATCTACTTATCAACTACTTTTTTTTTGGTCTTTGCCTTATTATTTGTAATTTTTCCCTGCGCTCTTTACTGAATTATTAAAGTTTAAACACTTGCCAATGGTTCCTGAAAAAGTGAAAATGGATGAATGTACCAGATGGATTTATACCATTTGGTTCACAAACGGGACATAACTTATATTGGCAACCTAACTTTCTTAAGCCTCAATAAGCTTCAGGAATATAACTTCTCACCTTCTTAACTCCATTTTTAACTTCTTTATTTTTAATATAGATTTTGTCGTGCTTTCCCTGGTTGGGCAGAAAACTATTTGGATATATCATGTAGTTTTTTTATTTTCTATAAATTTATATTCTGATACTACCTAATTTATTTTTCCCTATCGAAATCTTGTGCCACGATTTTTTGTATCCACTTTTGAGTTCTCCCTATGTTTAGGGTTGCAGTATATGATAAGTTTTTCTATTTAGGCTCCGTATCACATTCGGACTATCACGATAATTTTTTTGGTCATTTCCTCATGCCCACCATTTGATAACTATGAACCTTTTACAATTGTCTCTAGTATCTCGGCGTTGATATGTCTTGGTTAAATGTATAACTTATTCAGAACTGAAACCTTTATGTTTTAAATTTAAAGTTTTTGAACTCAATACATTCTTATCTGTTTTCTACTTTACATGTTTTGTTGTTCTTACTTCTTCAAGACCATTTTAAAGTAGCAGGACTTCAGATAATTATTAGTTTGTGCCTGTTACTAATAATTTATAGCTTTTTGTGTTCATAGAGCTATTATGTATTGCTTATGTTGTATATATTTTTATTGGCTTATCACATTTATGTCAATTCTTGACTTGAGAGATTCATTATGTTTATGGATTCCTCTGTTATTTTATTCTCTGATACTATGTTTTTTTTTGCGACTTCCTCACTGGATTTAATTTTCCAATGGCTTGTTTATCCTGATTGAAGATAGTTGTTTACCTCAGATTGCTCGTCATTGGTTTCTTTTGGCGAATTATTACCTATAATACTTTTCTAATAGATTCCAGTCCTCATTGCCACCTTTTGTTTTTGTTTTTGTTTTTTTAATTGGAAACGCATGACTTTCGTGTGGTGTGTGTGTCTGTTGTATGTATATTGAGTGCGTAACATTTCCTAGAGTTTTGGTCTTACCATTATTCATATCATAATTTGACTTTTAGTCTTGAATTTTCCTTTAATACTTTTACTTTTGATCATCTAGTCACATGTTTTTTCTTAAAATAAACAGGGATGAAGAACAATTTTATAAAGCACATGTGAAAACAAGACAAATGCAGGGAACCAGAACTCCACCTAGAAAACACTGAAGCAAAACAAGACAAGAAAAAAAAAACGAAAAGAAAAAATAACAAACAAGCACAAAAAAATCCAGAGTTAAAAAAAAAATCCCAAAAGAACCTAAGAAACAGCAGCTTCCTATGTTGAAAATGTTTTTACTATTTTCATTCAGGAGTTCTCAATGTGGCAGTAATTAGATGGTTAAGGCTCAAGAGAGAATATCATTTTCTTATTCTTATGTGAATAACAAGATGCAATATTTAAATTCTTTTTCTTATTAGCATTTCTGCTCGACAGTTGCACTTTTAAACCTATTCTTTGGTGATGGGTTTTATTTGGATGTTTCGCATGGATAACATTGTTTCGTATTTACAGGGCTCTTACAATCTCAAGATGACAATCAAGGATGATCACAACCAGAAGTTGTCTTGCATCAGTTTCAATTTTAAAATTGTCTTTGGATCTTTGGTCTCTGCTAGTTGAGCACCTGGTATCTTAGTCATATAACAATCAAATGTCTATTTCAAGTGCCTTGTGTGTAAGGATTGGAATGCTCCTTTGTTAGACAAAACCGTAAATGAATGTATGTATAAAATAAAAATGCAGCACTTGTCATAAGAAGGTGGTGGATGGATGGCTATTTGGTCCCAGAGAATGAAATGAATAGATTGTGTTGCCTAGGCATCCATCCTGCTTGCAAATGATAGCAGTCCCCCATCACCGGTAAGGTTTTGAGCTAGTTGGTATGTGGCAGAGCAACCTTGGAACATTAGTACTGAAAACTGAGAGTAACGAGTCATTGTTGGACTCACCTACAAAGCCATCATACTATTTACCGCACGCATCTTTGATGCTTTGGCTCTACGGCATCAACTCCATAGATTGTGTGCAGAACATAACAAACTCCTTCAGGTAGTACATGTGATCCGTGTATGCTACATGTGCGAGACCCTGTAAGTTGTTACTTGTAACTATGCTTTCTCTATATTTTGGCTTGACTGACGAAGGCGAAATCCGATTACTTGCATGGGTTTGAAGCTGCAGAGCTTCTCAACTCAGAAAGTGCTAAAGTCTGAATGTCACTTGATTTAAGCGTTAAGAGAAGGAGAGTCGTGGGTGCCGATGAAGTTGCAAGCTTCAATTTATTAAACCTGGGAGAGATCAAGTTTAGGGCAAAAGAAGATAAGAAAATAGTGGGGGAAACATCTCATGAGCCTTGAAACCGTGGCAGATTTTAGAGGAATTTAAAGGTGCTTTGGTGTGAAAAGGAAAAATCATTTGAGGCCTCTGCACACCGAACCAGTAAACACCAAAATCTGGATTGATTTGGTTTAAGTCTCATACTAGTAGTATAACGGAATTAAATCAATCCATTTGGTGATCAATTGAGTTCAATTTGGTTGGGTTGGTTCCCTTAATAACAAGTAGGCAAATATTCGCTAACATGTAACGGCCTGACCTTATAAAAGAAAAAACAACTTATACTACAAATTAAACTAATCAGAAAATATAAGGTGTCAAATAAAAAAAAAACTATTGTGGACGGGTTGGTTCGATTTAGCGGTTTCCAAAGAGGCCAAACCGACCATCGAATCCTAAATTGTAATATGATTCTGCTTGGTCCACGATTGCACCTCTTAAGCATAAAACTAAACCAAACCAAACCAAACCATTTATGCATGGATAGAAAAATAACTTGAAATATTCTCTTATTCAGGGCTTATTAACTTAGGCATTTAGAAATTCTATCTAGGAAAAAAAAAAAAGGTGGAGTTTAGGGGCCACAAATTTGAACTTCAAATTTTATCTACATAAGTGTCGTTTCTGAATTTCAAAAAAATGAGAATTTTTTGTATGAGTCGGTTTGGTTTTTTGGACTTTAATATTCTAAATTGAACCAAACTGCTCATTACAATTTGAATTTAGAACTAAATTGTGAATCCCAGTACTGAAGCACTTGAACTCAAGAACACATTTGCATTTCCAGGGATAAACTTCCATTCCCTGAAGTCTCTAAATATGAACATTGACTAAATAAACTTGCATAAGGGAGTCCAATTTATTACCTTAAAATAGAAACATGAGATGAAAATTTAGTCATTTGACTTTGGAATTTTGTTTAAGCACGGAGATGTCCTGAGAAGTTTATCTAAGGAGTTTTTTTTATTTTTATTTTAATTTTAAAAACTAATCTAAACTATGGTAGAGAGATTCGCACTCGGGTGCAAAGTGAAGAGCACCTTTCACTCTAGCCAATTTGGTTAAGCTCATAATTTGTTTAATATCTTGTGAATGTTTACCTATAGAGTTCTGCACAATGTGATCCGTTTAATATCAGTTATGATAATTGTGGTGAGGATCCTTTTTTTCTTCTTTTAATATTATTTTTTATATACAAATCAATAAGCCATCTTCAGCCACGGGACATAGGCCACATGTACCCCTCAAAAAAATGTAAAACCCATCTCCAGTCATGGGATAAAATTTAAAAAAAAAAAGAAAAAAAAAAGGAAGAAGCTTGGCTCCTTAAGATTGAGGATGAGCTCCTCCTTACAACCAATATGGTCGTGTTTAATTTTTTTTAATTTTTTTTTAATTTTAGCCGAAACTATCAATGTTGCTCAAATTTGACAAGTGTCAAAACCCTATTGATTTTTAGGAGGAGATCCTCCTCAACTTTAAGCAGCAAAGTCATGCTAAAAAAAATTTGGCCAAATTTTGAAGGCCACATTTAGCCTTTTAACCTTCCAACCGTGCCAAATTTTTTTGGTGGGCTCAACACATGTGTTGCCCAACAAGAGGAAATATCACACTTGGGCATGATCAGGGGAACATCTCGTGCAACTGCAATCCAAGGGTTGATATTAAAGGCGCAATGACCCTAGCTAGCCCCTTTTTTTTTCTTTTTCTTTTTTTTAAATTTTTTTTTAATTTAAATGTATTTAATTATATATATATATATAATTTGGAACATTAACTTTTTTTCTTGTAATGTTTAAATATATAAAAAAATCATTTTTAAAAAAAATTATAAAATTAATAAAACAAGGTTGTCAACGTACACACGTCATATATGTAATATTGTCTCTGAATAGTTGTTTAATTAATTTAAACAATATATAATAGTGGAATGTATGAGTGTTGTACCATAGTTTTTCTAAAAATAATAAAATATGGAGGGCCCTAAAATATAGTTGTGTCTGGAGATTAAAAAATTTAGCCTTGCACTATTTTTAAAAAAATGGGAGACTTTGGAAAAGACCAAAGGAGAGAGAAATTTTTTAAAAGAAGCCAAAATTGACAAAATTGCCCTTAGTTTTGGATTTCTTAAGGAATCATTTACATTTTTATGTCTTTGGTTTGAAAATTGAGAGGTTTTTCTGTCTTTTTTGAAAAAAATTTGGTTTTTTCCAAAAGTGAAATTTTTTTTTTTTTTGTGTGGCTAAAACCTAAATTTACTTTAAAGAATTAATATTTTAGAGGGCTACATTTAGCCCTTATGACTGGAAATGACCTTAGTGGCTAGGATTGCATGGAGCCCAATTCGGGCTTGTTACCTACTTTAAATCACTAGAAATCATCATCAAATCAAGTTATATATGTGGGAAAACATGTATTTCGGCAACCAATAAGAAGATGACATGTGGAAAAAGGAATATTCCTTATGTCAACTAATTGCTTTAATTAAATTCTATTTAATTAGAGAATTATCTTTGATTTAAGATAGGAATATCTCCCTAAATCAAGGATTTGATTTCCACCAAATCTCTTTGATTAATTCCTATCATCTTTTTTTGGGTAAGAATAATCCTAATTAAATAAGGTTATTCTTCAAACCCTAGCCTACAAGGAGTCTATAAATAGATGGTTACACAACACATTTGAGATAATTCTAAAACCCTAGAGAAATCACTCACTCACTCTCACTCACTCACTCACTCTCACTCACTCACTCACTCACTCACTCACTCACTCTCTCTCTCTCTCTCTCTCTCTCTCTCTCTCTCTCTCTCTCTCACGGCTAAGGCCGCATGGCTCTCCCAGTGAGAGAAAAATAAGACCTTTATGTTGTCTCTATACCTTTCTCAAGATCATTTAACTAACTTAGGTATCGGAGGGCCTTTGGCCAACACCCCCCATGTGTGGTCCGTTAACCTAAACTTGTTTTATAGGAATTGAGGAAGAAGAAAGAGAAGGAAGATCAAAGGGTGGAAGAAACGCACGCGAATATTGTCCCGTGAGAATTTTGCTCAAACATTTCAATGCTTTCATTGGGAGTAACGAAATACACTCAAAGCAGTGCCCTCGAATCAAAGGAATCTATTTCCTCCTATTCATCACTCAACTGAAACCCTCCAAACAATCATGGTTGGAAGCAAACACACAAAGAGCAAGACCATCGCAACAACTCAATTAGCGACAGGTCCAAGCCAACATGACGACACAATGTCGAACCAGCTGTTGTACTTCGGCGTCGAAGCCGCAACTTCACATCCTGCAACCGTGATCGCCATCGTAGCTCCTCCGAACGTTGCTACTCCTCCGCACGTTGCTACTCCTCATCTTCGCCTCGTGATTGAGAGCCCTGCTCTAGCTCACTATGCGACTCCATCACGCGGCCTACGACCGGAACCAACTTGAACCTCCACGAATCCGTAGCTAGATCTAATGCTCACCACCATGAAGCCTTCGCTCACGACCATCTTGGCGTCGCGGCCAATTATGGCCCAATATTGGAGCAACTACATATGTTCCTTCCTTTGCCACAACGCTTGATGTTTGTAGCTCCCAGGCGCACCTCCAACGAAACCCTAGCCCGCGTGCAATTAGGCTCCACACAATTCTCTCTTCTATATCCAAGCAATGAAGCAGACCTTAGTCTAAAAGTCAACCAGTTCACCCAGAGAGTTGACTACCAAAATCTCTTGGTTGGACAGCTCCTTAGGCAGATTGACCTGGTTTGAGACCTTCGCCTTTGATCCATTAGTGAAGAGTGAAGGATGGATGAACGCACCGACATGCAGTTCGAGAGGTCCCAAGTAGGTCGAGCAAGAACCAGCATGCGAGAAGGAGGACAAGAGTGCACTACCTAGCATGTCAGAAGCATATGCAAGCTCCAGCCAAAGTAGATCAAGCCTCCTTTCAAGATTAGGTCAAAGGATCAACATGCACGAAAGGTTGGGTCCGTGATCTGATGTTTATACACGTCTAAGCCCACAAGGAAGTATTCATGAGAGGCTAGGCCCATAAGGAGATCAACCTCACAATCCTTCTCAAGAAGTACGTGAAGAAAAACGCTCACCAGCCTGCTCCAGAAAAGCTAGTAGATGAAGACAAGCCACAGAAAATCTCTCGCAAGCTCAGTCCACCAATACTCCATGCAGGCAAGAAAACTGAGGAGATCAACCCCCCCAGGAGTCAATTTTGAGGTCAATCAGTGAGCCCACATCATGGGAGACACCGACATGAGCTGAGAGCTTTGTGAGTAGAAGACATCGAGAGGCTCGTGAATAACCGACTTTGAGACTTGAAGTTTGAAGGAAACTTGAAGGATGACTTGCACAAGAAGGTAGAGCACGTAAACTTCTCTCCTTTCACCAATGAGATCGAGCAGACGACCTCGCCAAGGTGATTCACGACACCATCTTTCATGCCATTCAAAAGGGATTCCAATCCCGATAGCCAT